ACATCTCTACTTGAAAGTACAGCTAATATAGACTTCCAAGTTAAATAGGCCTCAAACAGAATTACTTTCATTATCTCTGCAAAACAGTTCCTCTCATCATTTTGAAATTGGTGAATGGTATTTCCACCCTTTCTTTCAGTTGGAGTCATTTTTATCTTTTTCTTTCACATAATCCAATCCATCAGTAAGTCCTATCACCTCTAGCTTGAAAACACAAACGGAATCCAATCATTTCTCATTAGCACTACTATCTGGTCAAGCCACTCCCATCTCTTTCTTATTATAGCACCCTCTTCATCAGTTTCAGTTTTTGCTTTCTCTCACACAGCAGCCAGAGGAATTGCAATAAAGGGCAAATCAGACTAGGTCACTGCTATGTTAAAAATCCTCCAATGGCTCTCATTTCACTCAAAGGAAAACACAAAGTCCTTTCAGTGGCCTACAAGGCCCCCACTCTCTGGCCCTTTTTACTCCTTTGGCCTCAAATCCTGCTACTCTTCCTCTCCTTCCTAGCCCAAGTCCACTCGCCCCTCAAATTTGCTCAAAGTATATATACATCTTTCTCAGGGACTATGTATTGATGGTCCTATGTGTGGGCTACTCAGCATCCAGATCTCTGTAGTTTTTTTTTTGGTTGTTGTTGGTTTTTTGTTTGTTTGTTTTGAGACAAGGTCTCTCTCTGTAGCCCAGGTTGGAGGACAGTGGCAGAATCACAGCTCACTGCAAACCTCAAATTCCTGGGCTCAAGTGAAAATGCCGCCTCAGCTTCCCGAGTAGCTGGGATTACAGGTGTGAGCCACTGTGCCCAGCCTCCTCTGTAGGTATTGCTTCCTCACTTCCTTCAGGTACATATTCAAATATCATCTTCTTTATGAGACTGTCTGTGACAACACTTTTTTTTTTTTTTTGAGACAGAGTCTCGCTCTGTTGCCCTGGCTAGAGTGAGTGCCGTGGCGTTAGCCTAGCTCACAGCAACCTCAAACTCCCGGACTCAAGCGATCCTCCTGCCTCAGCCTCCCGAGTAGCTGAGACTACAGGCATGTGCCACCATGCCCGGCTAATTTTTTCTACATAGTTTTAGTTGTCGATTAATTTCTTTCTATTTTTAGTAGAGACGGGGTCTCGCTCTTGCTCAGGCTGGTCTCGAACTCCTGAGCTCAAACAATCAGCCCGCCTCGGCCTCCCAGAGTGCTAGGATTACAGGTGTGAGCCACCGCGCCCGGCCGACAACACTTTTTAACATTGCAAACCACATCCCCCAACTCCCAATTATATTTTTCTCTGCCCTTGAGGAGTCTACAGTCTATTTAGAGAGTCAAAACATACCCCAATGAAAAGCAAAGTAGGAATGGAATACTATATAGGATGTCCAAAGAGTGTAATTCAAGTCAGTATTGAAAGTGATAGCCGAGCTTGGACAAGTGGCATGGGGCCAGGTTTTGGAGGCCATTTACGCTAATGACAGGAATGTGGACTTTACAGTGGACAGGGCACCATGCAAAATTCCCCTTGTCCCTCCCCCATTGGTTCTGATTATGTAATAATTCTCCAGTCTTTTACAAAACCAGTTCTTGCACTGAGCACATCAAACTTAAATTATGTATTTATCTGGACAAGTTCCTGGCTGAATGACTATGAATAAAATGATTACAAATCTGAATGAATTTACAATTGATAAAATTAAATACTTCCCTATACATGTGAAGTATTTTCATGGCAGAAAGGAAAATATTTCAAGAAGGACTCTTTAAAAAATAAGTCTTGTATATTAGTAGCAATTTTTGTAAAGTACCCTACTTGTCTTTTTTTCCCTATTTATAAAAGAATTATCTGATCTACTTGTCTTTTACTTTACTACAGACTTCTGGAGTACAAGGGGTGATATTCTATGTTATAACCAAATCTCTAATACAAACATTTAATAGCTTAAGGAAGTTCTGTCTTTTTAGGGAAGGTGAAGTGACTTTTTCACTAATACATTTGTCCATTATTGTTTATTTGCTTTTGAATTCATAATTATAGATACATAAAAATAGTTTATTGTATAACATACACAAGTTATAAAGGATATTATAACCATGCTTGAACCCAATGGCCAACGAGGCATAAAAAATATTACTAATAACTGCTTTGACCTACTCTCTCTCTCTCCTGCTATCCTCCCAGGGTTAAACATGGCCCTGAATTATGTCACTGTCTTGCCTTAAAAATCCCTTTTGTTTTTCTTGCCCTTACGGTCACATTGCACTATTTTGCTTAACTTTCCCATCTGATCCTCTTTCATGCCCTATTAATAGGGCAGTATTTTATAAGTAAGAACATATACTTAGAGTCATACAAATTATAAGATTAGGTGGTTTGCAAATAATTCTTAGTCTGTTTTTTCCTTTAATGCTATGCTAGGAAACTTTTCTCTTGCCTTATTTTTCAATTTCCTTACTAAGAAATTATATCTTAAAATTATCCTATTCATTTTTTGTATACCAAACCTAGCATAATACCTGGTACGTAGTTGGTGTTCAATAATTATTTGTCGAATACATTATTTTTATTTTTCTTAACATAGGACAAGGAGACTTGTAGAAGAAAGGCCCTGAGAAAGAATTTCTCATTTTTTAACCACACCGTTGGGAGTTTTGGAGAGAGCTAAATAAATATAGTTCTTTTCAGAGAGGTGATCCTTTCACCTAAAATAATCTATCAGCATAGTTAACCTTTTGGCATTGAGCCTCTAGTTCTTTTTTTGTTTCGTTTTCTTATTTCATTATGGATAAAAACTATTTTTAGCCAAGCTCCTACTCTTCAACATTTATATTTCCAGTTTTTAGCTAAAATAAATAGAAATATGGGCAATATTTAAAATAAATTTGGAAGTTAGAATCAATAGGACTTTGTATATTATTACATACATGCAAAAAAGGAAAGGTAGTAGTCTAAGATGAGAACTAGATTTCAAACTTGGATGAGTAAGTGGAACTGGGTGGAATATAATAAAGCCAGTCTTGGTCCTGCTGAGCTTGAGACATCCGTGGAATACTTAGTACGTGTAGTAGTTAGAAGCATCATCACCATACTTCTTGTTACAGGCTGAAGTGTGCCAGCTGCCAAATTTATATGTTGAAGTCCAATACACCGTACCTGAAAATGTAATTGTATTTGGAGATAGTGTCTTTAAAAATGTAAAATGAGTTTATTGGGGTGGGTCCTAATCCAATCTGACTGAAGTCCTTATAAGAAGAGATTAGGACACAGACATGCACACAGTGGAAAGACTATGTGAAGATACAGGGAGAAGACAGCCATATATACAAGCCAAGGAGAAAGGACCCAAGGGGGGCGGGGCAGAAATCAACCCTGGTCACAGGGTTGACCTTGGAATTCTAGCCTCCAGATTCGTGAGAAAATAAACTTGTTTAAGTCACTCAGTCTGTGGTACTTGGTTATGACAGCCCTGGCACCCTAATACACTTCTCAAACATTTACATTTTCTGATTATTTTTGTCTGGGATCTTTTCAGTGTTATGCCTGCTTCTCTATTTATCCCAGAAAGACAAACAAACCCACAGAACAGAGATAAACACCCACACCAAGTGTATTCTGCAGGGAGGAAACTTGTTTTTACCTTCTAACCAGCTTCAGTTCATAGGTTGGAACCCCTGTAACAAAAGACAGATTAACAAGAGAAAAACTTAAACACATGTATTTAATGTAAGTTTTACATGACATGGGAACCTTCATAAGGAAATAAAGACCTGAAGAAGGAATGAATTAAACCTAAATGTTTGTAAAACAGGTTTGATGAAAAGTGGGGAGTACTGGGGAAATATGATAGGACAAAAAGAGGAGCATGACCTAAGGGTAATAAACAAGGAAAAACCTAGCAAGGCCTATTTGTTCAGATTCATCTCAGACTCTGCAGGTATCACACGAGGGTCTTATGACCTGCTTGGGGGAGAAAGGTGGGGGAAGGTAAGAGGGACATTCCTGTACATGCTGTTTGTCAAATTCCTTCACATTAATTGAATATTTTAATTCAATTGTCAAGATGCCATATTTTGGGCTAGTGTGTTCTGAACCCCATCAACATATACAATGCTGAGGGTAGATGGGAGATAGTGACTTTTTTTTTTTTTTTTTTGGTCCTATTGAAGAAATATAGCAAATGAGTAGAAAATGAGGTTTTTGACTCAGGTTTACATTACCAATGTCCATGGTTTTCTCTTTACAATACTGTGTTCAGGAAAGTGAAATTTACTAGTAGGTGATCTCTAGGGCCCAAAGGTTACCATTTTGTTGTTAAAGAAACTTGCTAGTGTAAGGACTTTGCCATGCGAAGCTATTAAATAGGTCTGTCTCCTGGCCAATTTTACTTTCCTTATTCCAATTGACACTAAATATCCCTACTCCTATGATTCCAAGTAGCCTCCTGCTGCTTGAGAACAAGTCTCTAATAAGCAGTATGGAAATAGTCCTTAGAGATTTCATCAGGCTACTTCCGCATTGAAAACAACAGGATTATGACAAACTGAAACTAAACAATGAAAACCTCTAGAGGTGGTGGGCAGGGAGGGAAAGGGCAGGGCGGCTGTTTAAGAAACCAATGTATACAGCAAAACACTGTATTTTAGTGACGAACTAGTTGTCCAGTGCAACACTTAATGATGATGAATCTAGCTGTACAGGTTTACTCTATGGTGATTCTTATATACCAAAGGGATTATTGACCCAAGATACTGTTACATGCATTACCTTTGCCATTATACTGCCAAGTCTGGAGAATTACGAATCCCTAAATAAGACAAGGATGTCTCACAAAACTGTGCACCTATCTGTTCTGTCTGCAATTGCCCAAATTACCTGTACAAAGCAAAACGAATTATTGATGGGACCACAATAGGTTAAACTCAATATTGTTAACTAGACACTACATTAGCACTTAGCATTAAAGCTCTTAATTTGAGATTGTGAGTGGCTCTGAAAAGAGCCTTTGGGTTTGACAGTGACAGAAAACATTTACTTAGAGCTGGTGTACTTGGTTACGGCCTTTGTGCCCTCGGACACCGCGTGCTTGGCCAGCTCCCCCGGCAGCAGCAAGCGCACCGCCGTCTGGATCTCCCTGGAGGTGATGGTCGAGCGCTTGTTGTAATGCGCCAAGCGAGACGCCTCGCCCGCGATGCGCTCGAAGATGTCGTTGACGAAGGAATTCATGATGCCCATGGCCTTTGAAGAGATACCAGTATCGGGGTGGACCTGCTTCAGCACTTTGTACACGTACACGGAATAGCTCTCCTTGCGGCTGCGCTTGCGCTTCTTGCCATCCTTTTTCTGCGCCTTGGTCACAGCCTTCTTGGAGCCCTTCTTCGGAGCAGGAGCGGACTTGGCCGGTTCCGGCATATCGTCACAACTCACTAAAGAGACTAACAAGAAACAATCTTAAATGGTTGCTTGCATCTAGAGTCTCCCATTTTATAGGCCTTCTATGCAAATAAGGTATTCAAAATAGCCAGATCTGATTTGAAAACGTATCAGTGACGAACGATACGTAAATTAGATTTCATCATATCTTCTTTGTCATTGATTGGCTGGTAAAAGCTAACTTTAACCAATCCAACCTCGCCTTTTACAATTCCACCCATCACTATAACTAGCTTCTTATTCCTCCTTTGAGAACATTCCATTCTGAGTTTCTTGTAGCAGCTAGCTCTTCCACTGCTGGTGAGTCACTATGTCTGGACGCGGAAAGCAAGGCGGCAAAGCGCGGGCTAAGGCCAAGACGCGTTCTTCCAGGGCTGGTCTGCAGTTCCCTGTGGGCCGTGTGCACCGTCTTTTGCGCAAGGGCAACTATTCTGAGCGAGTGGGCGCCGGCGCGCCGGTGTACCTGGCAGCGGTGCTGGAATACTTGACCGCCGAGATCTTGGAACTGGCAGGAAACGCAGCTCGGGACAACAAAAAGACTCGCATTATCCCGCGCCATCTACAGCTAGCCATCCGCAATGACGAGGAGCTGAACAAGCTTCTGGGTCGTGTTACCATTGCTCAGGGCGGTGTCCTGCCCAATATCCAGGCTGTGCTGCTGCCCAAGAAGACTGAGAGCCACCACAAGGCTAAGGGCAAGTGAGACGCTTAACAGACCAGTCCATCAGTGATCCCCAGTCTTAGAAATCAAAGGCTCTTTTCAGAGCCACCTACTTTTTCTGTAAAGTGCTGAAATACGAAATTTTTCAAGAATTCTATTCACCTATTTTGTGCAACACTTGTAAACCTTTAAAAAATGAAATACTCTTGTTTCAGTCCTTGACCCTAAAGAGGTCTGTTTGTTTTTAAAACGCTTGCTTGCTCTATGCACCACAAAATCTGTGAAAAAAAAAATATCTTTGTTTGTCTCCCGGTACTGAAAAGATACAAAGCGTCTACCAATGCAGAGTCTGAGTCTTAAAAAAGGAATTGTCTCAAGTCAAGTTAGGGCTGTAGGCTATGTAAATTGTCAAGGAGGTAGGTAGGAATCAAGATCCACTAACGCTTCAAGGTCATCGTTTTGTGTATGTGTATAGACACATATGCACACAAAATTATACATACGCTGGGTATCTATGTACATTTGCTGTTAGAAAAGCCAAAATATGAATACAGATATGAGAGAACAAAGAAGCATAGCTGGCCAATAACACTTCAGGGCGGGCTTTTTAAAATTTTACAAATGACGGCATTCCTACCACTAAAAATTGTTTTAAAACTAGTTACTGTTCTTTTCAGAAAAACGAAATTAACACAATACTCTAACGTCGACATCAAACAAAAACTTCGCTTTTATGACCTAAACTTAAAAGTGGACTAAACTCTAAAGGAAAATTATTTAACTTTAATGGAAATCCAATCACATTTTTCCAGAAAGCAATCTGAAGACCAATTAGATCGCAGCGCGGACAGAGAAACTGAACCGGTCTGTTCATTAGAGAGAGTCTGAAACTGCACGGTACAACAATCCGTCAGTTTTGTCATTTCTGTCGTCCTGGCTAGTACCAAGCTGACAGCGCGTAAGTCCACCGGCGCAAGCAGCTGGCCACCAAGGCGGCTTGCAAGAGGGCGCTAGCCACTGGCGGCGTGAAAAGGTCCCACCGCTATCGCCCCTGCACCGTAGACCTGCACGAGATCCGCCGCCACTCAGAGCCACTGATGGCAAACTGCCCTTTCAGCGCCTGGTGCAGGACTTAAAGACCGCCTTGCACTTCCAGAGTTCGGCGGTGATGGCGCTGCAGGAGACATGGGATGTCTATCTGATTCTCTTTGAGGACACCAACCCGTGGGCCATCCACGCCAAGCAAGTAACTGGCACGCCCAAGGGTATATACATTCCTGTGGAATCCAGGGGGAGAGGACATAATCCAAGGCTATTATTTTCTGTGAACTAGAAAAAGCTCTGTTCAGAGTCAGCCGCTTCCTCAATAAAAGCTGGTGTAGTGTATTCACTTATTTTACCTCTCCTGGTGAAAACAAAAAATGAATTTTTAAAAATTGGAATGAGAAGTACATTCATGGATTTTGTTACATAGGATATTATATGTGATTCTTAATTGGGTGTGTAAAGGTATGCAATCTATTACTTTAGAAAGCTGCATCTCTTCTGAGATTGTCTTTCAAACTAGACAGTTGTATTTGGTGAGAAGGTGAGGATGTCAGTGGAATAGTTTCTAGTGTTAAATAAAAATTACAGGAGGTCGTAGTTACACACTAAATTTCTGCAGTAGTCCCCAACAGATGAGACCAAAAATCAAAATGGTAAAGTTCCACATTTACAACACAAACTAATTTGTTCTGTGAACTTCTGAGAAATCAGGAGAAAGAGGTCACAGTCAATTTCCCAAACAGGCCAGTTTATACCTTCAATGGGCATGATAATGAGGTTTCTTATGTTTTAATCTTTACACAAAAGAAGTAGACTGAACTAACCTGTTTTTATTATTCTCTTGATCTGTCTCTGTCTCTGCCTTACAAGAAAAGCCGCTTTCATGAAACTAATATACTCTTTTTCTTTGCTTATCCTTTCCTCAGAGCTTCTCCATCTATAAAGCTAATCCCTTGGCTCAGCTCATGGGGAACATTTATTCTATGAAATCTTTAAATTAAATGTGCTGTAATTTTGTTTTTTGACACTATGTATTCATTATTAAAAGGAAAGGTGCCATTGCTGATGAGGGGATTTGCCTCCTAACATCATTATGCTATATTTTTATTTATTTTTTCTAGTGTTGGGGCTCAGGAAACAATAAGCCAAAATAAAGGCCTTAGAAACAGCCTCAGAAGCAAAAGTTTTGTAGTGAGCTGAAATGCTTCAAAGGGTTAATAAATAAAAGGGTATAATGCAATTATAGTTGCTAGGGAACTGTAATGAATGCTATTTGCTTCTGTACAAAGCTTGCGGTTAGCAATTGTTAGAATTCAGGGCTTGATCGTCCTCCACATGTCAAGAGTTCAACTTATGATCAATGTATAATGGGAAAATGGTCTGTGTTTAATCTATAACTTAGATTGTGCTTTACTTCAATGATTGTAATTTGTCTTTGGGCACCAGAGATCTGTGAGAACAGCCAGATCTCAGGACCCTGTGTCATTGAAATATTAATTGTACATTCTACCTTTGTTTCCTTTGTTTTAGAGTACCTGTTCTATGGCACGTAGCCCCCCTCAAATTAGTATAAAATTTCTGTGGAAGCAAAAGACTAGTGCCACTCTCTGTACTGCTTTTATGCGGGCAGAGGTGGTCGCTGGCCAGCTAATAAAGACTCTCAATTTGGCTCCATTAAATTCTCTCGTGGTCTGTTCGCGCCCTCCACACTACAACAGTTTTTCTTCCCTAGCAAACTAACTCAGAGAAAGGAAAAAAAAAAAAAGCAAAAGGATTTTTTTTCCAAAAAAAAAAAGGATAATATTTACATTTATTTGTAATCATTGGGGTCAATGGGCCTACAATCCATTGAGAGGCCTCAGTTGCCTAAAAAGCAAACATAGACCTACTTTATTTTCACATGAAGAAAATGGTCTTTCATTTCATTACCTTATGAAAGTTATCAAAATGTTACATTCAAAATAATAAAAGAAATCTAAAAAATATAATAAATGTTTCCAATATATAATTCATCAGTAAAGTGTAGGAGCCAAGGGGGAAGTTCCCATTGGCATTCTGAAGGTTCAGTGAAAAATCAATTTGCAAAAGGAAGATTAATAGGAGAAAAAGCATACAAATTTATTTAATGTGTATACATCGCAGCCTTCAATATGAAGACCCAAAGGTAAAGGATAAATTGTCCATTTTCATGCGTAGGTTCAACAAAGTATGGACAGTCCTGTAGAAATAGAATTGGACAAAAAGGGTATGATCTAATGCTAACAGAGTGAGCAGGGCCAGCAAGGCCTGTCTGTCTAGATTCTTCTTGGTCTCTCTAAGCATGCATTCCTTTCTTCTGGGTGTGGAAAGGACCATCTCTGGAATGCGAGTCTTACGACCTAGTGTTATGTCAGATGATTTCTTTTCGGCCATTTTTTACACAGAAAGGCAAAGGGAAAGTTAAGGTAATATATTTAGGTTTTATGGCTAGTTTGGGGGAAAAAGAGGTCTTGGTTTCTATGACCCATCTTTAGGGAGAGAGATTCTAGTTTCTATCGCTACCATTGGGGGAGAATGGGACGGAGAGGCAGGAGGGCAGGAGAAGGTCAGAGGAAAAGTTTTGCTTCTGAGGCTGCTTCTTAGGCCTTTATTCTGCAGTATTGGTTCCTGAACGCTAACACTAGAAACATTAAATAAAAATATAGTAACTGCAAGATAAATGTCTATGAAGCCTCATGGTATAATTTCTTGACATCCTCGCTTTACTCATTAATCAAATAATAGATTAACTTTTTATGCTCTTTAGGCTCCAAAGTAATTAACCTGATTTTATTATATCAGTCTTTCTGGATGTTTACCTAGCTTGCAGGAACAGTAAACCATTTTTCTGGCCTTCCTTCTTTTCATGAAATGCCTTTGTGCTTCCACAATTTTCTTTTTCTTTTTTCATCATCAGAATGTATATTCTATTGTACATGTATAGAAGCTTAAGCTTTTGGGGACATTAATTGCTTTAAAAATCAATTTTGGATGTTCTCCCTCAAAAACATACACTTGGGGAAAAAAAGATTAGTATAGAATTTCAAGTAGTCTCCATCTACTGATATCTTGCCATTGAAGAATTCAAATATCAGTAATTTTTCTTGCTGTCCATCTATTCTTGCCTTTGATGTATAATGGTTTATTTGGAAAGCCTCCCTTAGTTCCCTAATGTAATTTTTTACATATGTATAGATATAGATATATATAGATATATATCGCTTTATTCTAGCTTGAGTCCAGAATCTGTAACTTGGTTTTGTAGAAATATATCGTTTGTCCACTTTGTTTCAAAGCCTATGCTATCAAGATTTGGTAAAGAATCAAGAAACTGATAAGGGAAATAGAGAATCCTGGCACAATGCTGCCTATAAAAAATAGTGCAAGTTACACATATAATTTTGAATTTTCCATTAACTATATTTTACAAAGAAAAAAGAAGTACAATTATTTTAATACTATATCATATTTAATGCAAAATATCAAAATATTATTTCAATATGCAATCAATATAAAAAGTATTAATGCACTATTTTACATTCCTTCTTTCATCCTAAGTCTTCCAAATTTGGTGTAAATTTTATTCAATGTGAAATATAATTTTTATTGGAAATAACAATTTGCATTTAGATTTCATAAACTTTACTATTGAAATTAAATTAACATATCTGAGTTCAAACATACCCACCATTTTCCAATAACTGCATGAAGTATCAGGCTTTAAAACTAAATTAATTAAAA